CATCCTCATAGTCTTGATCATGATATCAAGATTGGAGGTCAAGACAGTCACCTCATACTGCAAATGATAGACAACCATTCTTTCCTTATAGACAGTAGATATGAGATAGTTACTTTCTATATTCCTTCTTGTTGACAACCTTCTTTACTCTTGATGCACAAACATAGAAGAAGCAACAAGCTCATCATGAATTAATTCTCCAATACATGGAACTACATCAGAAGCCCATCTTCTAGAAAAAACAGTAACAAACCAAACAGATTCATCATCAGGATCAGTCTAAGAAGTAGAGAACCTCTTAAGAAACTTCTTGATGATGGGTAGGGAATTCTGGAAAACAAAATTCAAATACATGACATTGAGTGCCTCTACTTAGAATATCCTAGTTCTTACAGATGTCAGGACTGATATTCATCAAATTTGATCTTGACCTTCTATCCACTTACCTTAGATCCTGGTAGAATTTCCTCCCAAGTAACATAAAGTACTGAGGAACCCTTCACAAGTTCACAGGATCTTACAGAGTTGGAGACAAAACACACGCCCCTGTCCTCCTGTTCAACTATGTTCTTTTAAAGACAAAAAACAATTATGGCCCAAATAGATCCATCTGTGCTAATGATGTCTAGATATTCTTCTACGACAACAATCACATTCAAGACAGATCTCTTGAGTAGAGACCTCAGAATCCTGCTGACCAGATGTGCCTTTATGAGAGTTCTTGAGAAGTTCCTAAGTAACTTTGGCCACCAGACATGTGTTTAACAAACTGATAATATTTTTATCAACTCCATTGGATATAGAGTTCAAATCTTTTAGAGTAGCAAGAACCAATCCATACTCTTCCTCATAAGGAACAATCCACACACACCCTTTAGTGACATATTTCTAAGAGTTGTTATCCATTGATCTCAAGAAAGCTACTGTTATAGCCTTCTAATGATCATAAAGTACCAGAAAGAATCTCTGAAGCTCACCCAACAACTGACTAGGGTGATAGATCTGATGTCAATATTCTGGCACTCTAACACATGTTAATATTGATGTCATCACATCATAACATAATGTTAAGACAGATGTTATAACATCTTTTGTCTGACAGAACAAATAAATCAAACTGAAAATAAATTGCAGAAAGATAAATAACATAATCAACTGTTAACCCAGTTTAGTGAAACATCACCTACATCTAAGGGCATCCAAGCCAGGAAGGAAAATCATTATGATAACATTAGTTCAAAGCTAAACTCTCCCATTTACAACTTCTCGCCTAATCACTACCTTGTGCAACTTCTACCTAGAAACCCTCTAAATATGAGATCCCTCTCTCACTTCCTAACAGTCACAAACTAATGACAATTCAACAATAATAAAAAATAGAAGAACACTCTTCCAAGAACAATACTTAATTTTGCTTAAAAGCTTTAAACTAAGGACAATACTCTCTTGCTTAAAAGCTTTAGAGTCAATAATTAACAACATACAATCGATCTACCTCAATGTATTACAATATACATGGGTGACTTACAAAGTCACACTAAAGAGACTCTCAAAATCTAAGACTCTAAAACCTCCTTTTATTTTTTATAAAAGTGAAAGTCGTGAAAACATTAGGTTTAGGTAGCTCTTTAAATACTCCTGAGCAGACAATGGGCTTCAAATCTTCACCCAGATATTGCTTGATCCACATGTTGGGGACTGCATTAATTATGCAGAAAAATCTCCTTAAATCTTGGAATAAATCATCAAGTTTCCTAAATTGTCTCAACATCCAATTTTCGAAACTTATAAACAGTTGCAGATCAAATCAAATGTTCCAGATTAAATCTTCTTGACCTACGAAAATAAGTGATATAAATCCAAAATAAATCTCACAAAATCAAATCAAATATGTCAGGAGTGAGACTACAGCATGTATTGATGTACTGGTACAACATGTCACAACATCTATCAGAACATATGTCTTCAATGTTGATGAAACTAACAAGTTAGAACATTTCTCCCAACATCTTTCTATGAACCATGTCTTAGCAAAATTACTTTCAATCCTAAAACCATGGAACTAACACAAGTGAAGTGTGTTAAAGAAGAAGGCAAAACATTGGTTCAGGAAAAAAATATAAAGGATACGTGGAAGACATTTTTCTACAACCTATTTATTGAAGGATATGATATTGCACCGGACTTTAGCAAACTCGACATTAGAGAATCAGATCAGAACTATAATTACTACCGTCGAATCCAGAAACAAGAGGTAAATGAAGAGTTGAAAATAATGAGTAAGAGTAAGGTGGTTGAACTATACAAACCTATTGAAGTGTGTAAAATTCTTGAAGATAGATGTATTGAGTGGCTCATCAAACTCTTTAATGAAATTATGAGATCAAAGTGCATGTCGAAGGAATGGAGAAGAAGCACCTTAGTTCCAATCTATAAGAATAAGGGGGATATACAAAATTGTGCAAATTATATGGGGGTTAAGCTTATGAGTCATACCATGAAGTTATGGACAAAGTGATTGAACGAAGATTAATAAAAGAAACTAGAGATATTTTTGTGGAAATCCCTAGAGAAGAAAGGGGTTATGATTGCATATATTCAAGTTATTAAGATATATATGAAGGAGTATCGCCTAGTGTGCGGACACAAGGTGGAGAGACAAACAATTTTTTCATTACAATTGATTTACATCAAGGTTCAACTCTAAGCCCCTCCTACCTTTTTATTTTAATTTTGGATGAACTCACGTAACAGATCCAAGAGTTAGAACCGAGATGCATGCTTTTTGCAGATGATATAGTTCTTCTTGGAGAGTCGAAGGAGGATTTAAATTAGAGTTTGGAAACTTGAAAACTTGAAGGAGAAGTTTAGAAACACATGATTTTCACCTAAGTTGAAGTAAGAAGGAGTATATAGAATGTAAGTTCAACAATAGAAGAAGTGTTTCTAACCTAGAGATGAAAGTTGGAGACCATATTATTTCTCAAGTAACACGATTTAAATATCTTGAGTCCATAATATAAAATAATGGAGAAATAGAAGGAGATGTAAACCTCTGAATTCAAGTTGGGTGTTGAAATGGTAAATGACATCATGTGTTTTATGTGATGCAAAGGTACCACTGAGGTTGAAGGGAAAATTTTATCAAATTGTACGAGACAAAACGTTGAACGGTTAAAAATCAACACGACAATAAAGTAGGTGGAACAGAGATGAAGATGTTGTGTGGATGTGTGGTAAGACTCGACCAGGACCGGTCCAATACATATTGAGGCCTAAGGCGATTTTTATTACTTTTTATATAAAAACCTGTTATTAAATTTTTATTAAAATTAATATAAAATCTTTTTATTTTTGTTACTTTTAAGACTTAGTTTTTTTATTAAATTCTTCTAATTAATTTTATTTATATCTTTTTCAGTCGATAATATAGAAAATTTACTCAATATTTATCTATGGATCTTAAATAAGATTTATTAATTTTAATATTAACTAATAATGTGAGTTTATAAAATAGTAAAATAAAAAATACCTCAATATTTTTATAGCCAAAATTATATTTATATTATATAAAAGGGAGTATAGATTAAAATTTATGGTGCTTGTTGGGTCTATATTATTGTTATTATTAACAATAATTGATTTAAATAATTAAAATAATATGTGTAACACTTTTAATTTTCCAATCACTTTTCTTTTCATGATCTTTTGTTGATTTTTTCTCTAAATTAAATTCTAATAATAAATTTATCTACCAACATTTCCTCTTATAGCCAATAAAAAATTAACCGTAATAAAAAAGAATTGGAGGCCCAAGGCAGTGGTTTAGGTGGCCTACCTCTTGGATAAGACTCTGACAAAATAGAATTAGAAATAAAAATATTATAGAGAGTGTCAGATATATTTAGATTGTTTTGGTATGTAGAGAGAAGATTGATAGATTCTATAGTAAGAATGATAGACTAAATTGAGAGAAGGCAAACAATTAAAGAAAAGAGAAGATCTAAAAAGACTATCATAGAAGTTATTAAAAAAGACATCGAGATTAATGATTTAGATAGAAACATGAGTTTTTATAGAACATTATGATAAAAATTGATTTATGTAACCGATCTTATTTAGTGAAATAAAGTTTAGTTGTTATTGTTGTATTGAGAAACATTCCTCACTCGGACTTAGTTGTAGTAGATGACATTTTTGTTATTGAAAATTAAAGATTAGACTAATTTTTAAGTATTAATCCAAAACTCCTCATTGTCTAAGGGCTCTCACTTCATTGTGTGTTTTGTTATTCTATCAAATGTGGATACTTATATAGATTTTAGATAAAAAGATGTGATGTCAAAATCTCTTTATATATAGTTGTTTTTTGTTTGAGCTGGTTAGGGTGGTTTGTAGTTCTATCTAAACATCTTTAGTTTATTTTTGAGCTTTTTTATTTTCTTGCATAAAGTTTCAAGGATTTGAGGTGGGTTTTTAATGATTTGAAACTTAATAAATAGTCTAGTTATTATAAAAAATTTATAATGATGTTCTCTTTACAGATACTGTCTATTTTTTAGAATGAGATGATAGATAAGAGCATTTTATTATTCTGACTGTGGTTTTTACAAGTGAGATCAATTTTTTTTATTTATTTGGTGTTATCTTTCATTGATTTTTTCTCTTTTTCTAGAATTGTTTGGTGTGCCTGATACTCAAATGTCTGTTGTGTTGTACGTTATGTTTTTGTTTCTTAGTTTTCTCTTTTTTGGTGGCAGTGATTTGCCCGGATACTTCTTGTACCTTAGATCCTCCACTCTTTGTACTCATGAACATTATTTGCCTTTAAAAAAACAGCCTCGGACAAAAGAAAAGGTCAAATAAAAGAACAGAACTCATCAAATAGAGAAACAAATACTTAAGAATGGAAACAATAGAGAAAAACAAAATAATCTACTACATTTAAAACTAAAAAATCTACATTATTATGCTAAAAAACACTTTTTTCCCCTCACCATCTACATAATGGAGCATGCATTTGGGTTTTCATCACTGAACATATTGGTGAGATGTGAATCTTCATGTGTAGCAACCATTCCAGTGGAAGTCTCCAATCTCCTCACATATCCAGGAGGAGCCTTCTTGTCATAAGAAGAAACAGCATATGGATGAGCCACCATGTTGTATGGCACGTAAGGCCAAATCTCAGCTTTCTTCCCTGTTGACTTGGCTTTCTTTAGGACCTTATTTGCCTCCACATACCCCATTACTGTCACTTTTTGCTGTTTCCTGTTTATCTCCACTGATTTTACTCCTGCACCATGCAAGAATGCTATAAAACTTTGATACTCTCACAAACACAGACACCAGATACGATACTGACACTGATAATGTTAAATAGCGTGAAAATGTAAGTTACCATTTATTGAAGAGAGGGCTTTCTTGACTTTAAGCTCACAACCATCACAATCCATCCTCACCTTCAACTCGACCGTCTGTAATTGCTTCCTCTTCTTGATCTTGTGTTGGTGGTGGCCACTTCCCATTAGATCAGATAAGTACTCTAGAGTTCCTCCAACTCCCATTTCTACCGTATATTATTATTATTATTTAGATCGAAGATTCCGAAATGGTTAAAAATATAACAAAACAAAACAAAAAAAAAAGTTAACTTGGCAATGCCAATAGATATGAACAAAACACAATAGCACAATTCAGGGCTGAGGAGCTGAGAATTTTGTAGCGATGGTTGTTATGGGAATGATGAATGTGAGTTTATATTGAGAACAAAAGGAGGGAGCTCCGAAAAGAAGAAATTGCAAGGAACTTTCATGCAAAATAATTAAAAGATTCCTTCTCTACCGTCTAATGATATATAAACAATGATGCTCTTTGAAGAGCTTCTTTTACCTCCCTTGAAATTTTTACATAAAAAATGCCAACTTATAAAGTCCTTTTTTATCAGATTCATAAAGAGAAGATGAAAGGTAAGTGCAAAACTTTTAAAAATGAAAGTTTTTTTTGGCACCTTGAAATGGTAAAATTTTGTGGTACTGTTTATTCAGTTGACATTTGAGTCCATTGTTTATTAGGGAATGAAAATTGGTATAACAGATGACAGGTAATGAGAACTCTCTGATTGAGGCTTCAATTCAAATTGAAGAATAATGATTAATTGAGGAAAGTGAAAGCATATTCCAACTCCAAAACATGAATGAACAACTATTTGATAGTGACACACTTTTGAGGCGCTGTAAAAGTTTACAACGGCTATGAGTCTTAACAAAATCTTACCTCACAATTTTCTTATGCAAGTGTCACAATTTTCTTATGGATTATCTTTGCAATATTATTTTGTTTCAAATTAATCATCTCTTTAAAATATCATTTCCGCGCAATTGTAGTAACTAATCCTTTGAATCGGAGAGAATTGCAATGGACGGCAAAACTCTCCCTTAATAGATGCGTCTGAGATTGAATTTAAACTTATGACATCTAATTAAGATGAAAGAGATTTCTTATCATCTCACCCAAATATTTTTGATTTAAATATTTTTTGAAGTTAAAATGTTTTATATTTGAATACATTTAAAAATTAGTTAAAAAATAATACAAAAATCATGTTTAGATTCAAAAACTATGAATCATAGCTTATGCATAATTAATCTTAAAGGTCATAATCAATTTACTTTTGATGAACGATACAAGTTAAGATCTACACCTTTAAAATTTATGTTGCATTTCTAAAATAAAATTCAACATATACTTTAACGTAGGGAGTAACTTTTTTGATAAGGTTAGCATTTGATTTCAACTGCTTCCATTTATGAGATTTTATCCAAAAGAAGCAATTTAAACAATGGAAGCAACCAACCCGTTGGATAAGCTTTTTGCAATCAACGTAGAAACTACGTGCACAAAAGCACTCATAATCACTTTTGGAAACAAAAGTAGAGTGAAAAGAAAAAGGTAAGAAAATAGAAAAGTGAAGCAAAAAGTGCATGAAAACAGAATTGAAAAACATGCAACCCATGCCACAGCAATTCTAATCTCGTGGCAGTGAGTGATCTTGATGCAAAATACAAGACACGAAAAAGGGAAACTTTTGTCAACTTTTGTCACGCTTCTAAGTAAAAGTAACTATGAGATGCGAGAAAGTAAAGCTAAGAAAAGTAAGAATTTATAAATAATTGTCAATAGTCTTTTTCTTTTGCCTAATTTAGAACTCTATTAAATGTGCTTAACAATTCGAATTTTTCAGTGTCTTGCCCTTTGCCATTTTTTTTTTTTACAAAATACCAAATACTCATGCATTTCAAAGTAAATACCATTTTTTTTTAAAAATTGTTTTTATTATAAAGGTGCTGCCTATTGAATAGGAATTTTTTATATAATTAATATTAATAATTAATATATATTAATATTAATATATATTAATTAATATATTTGTAATAAATATATTTTTAAGTATAACTAATATAATAAATATTAATAATTAATATAAAAAATTAATATATTTTCAATAAGTAATTAACAATTAACACATTATATATATATATATATATATATATATATATATATATATATATATATATATATATATATATATATATATATATATATATATATATATATATATATATATTATTTATATTAATTAAAAATATCTTTATTAAAAATATATTAATATTAATATATATAAAAAATTACGAATTACTAAGTAATGTCCATTGTCTATTGAATGGGCGGAAGCGGAAGATATTTTTTTTACACATCGCCGCTCATTGAATGGCAGCACCTTTATAACAAAAATAAAATTTTTGCTGCCCATTGAATAGGCAGAAGAAAATCTTTGCTGCCCATTGAATGGACAGAAGATATTTTTTTTACACATTGTCGCTCATTGAATGAGCATCACCTTTATAATAAAATTTTTTTTTTTTTAAACATGGTAGTTTGGTATTTATTTTAAAAAGGATGGGTATTTGGTATTTTGTATTCAAAAAGGTGATAAGAGAGTGAAAAATTCTAACAATTCTTCTTGAATGAGTGACATTCTTTTGTGAGAATTGGCTAAATGCAATTTCTGTTTCAACAATATTTAGAGGACAGAAAATACTTTGCATTGACATCTTTGTGTGCTTCTTTTTATCATAGATTCTATCTATTTTTTATGGAGTATAAAAGAAGAAACTTTAACTAGGAACGAGGAAGGAAGCTACAACAAAAGGCCCAACAGATTGTGGGTATTAAGAGACATGTTTAAAGGAGATTTTGAGAGAAAGTGAGGGTTCATTGAAGAGTTTGAGGATTCTTATTGGCTTTACTTGGTACTTACTGTCTTAGGATTCTTAATGTCTAGTTTCATCCTTTTCAACTATCCAACACCTACACATATAATGCAGCAACACCAACATATATTCAAAAAAAAAAAACCCCTCTTAGAAAACAGTATCGACAACATGAAATAGCTGTAGATATGAAAACAAGTTGGTAGGAGGCATGGTGTTGTTTGGTACAAAGAACCTATTGTCATTATTAAAATTTGTGTATATTTCTTCTATATTTGTTTGTTTCTACAACATGATCCTACCAACTTGTTTTCATAACTACAGCTATTTCACGTTGAAAGTACTACAAAATTTGAAATGCTAGCATTTACTGCTATTTTACTTTGAAAATACTTGCGCCACAAGTATTTCTGTTCACAAAATTTTTTAAAAAACATGATAGAAAAAATGAATTAAACTTTCTAATAAAAAAACCCTTAATACCAAACAAATTAATTTACATAACCTCACCCGACCTAGAATGGGCGTTAAGAGAACAATGTTTCACTACGAGTTCTAGGAATCTAATGCTGACTGTTAAAAACAACAGGCAGCACAGAAAGGGTGTATGATCTAACATACTTACAAACCTAGGACAAAACAGACAGATTTAGATACACATTTAACACTTTTAGACAGGCGCTACTAAAAATACTGCGAACGTGAAATCTCAGTAAAAGACTGACAGGAGTTGAAATAGAAGCAAACAATAGCACTGCCAATGTTGCCGGTATGAAATCATTTGAGATGTCTGAGATGAAACAACTGAAGGATTTTGAGGAGCCTTTCCAGCAACAGCTGGAGCCACTGCATGCCCTTTGATTCTTTGCTGCTCATCTGCAGGCAGCGGGTTCGATGATGTCTTGTTTAGAGGGGATAGGGGCGTCTTCTTACCAAGACTGAGATCCTGACCTACAAATGAGTAAGATTTGAACTTAAGGCCTCCTTCAGTCTTCGGATGCACGTGACACGGGGATATATACCCATAGGTTAGAAGAAAAAAACATAAATAAGCAAGTTTTGTGAGAAATAAACTGACTCACAATTTGAGCGTGACCATGCTAGTTTCTTGTTTTCCCTATCAAAAACCAACCGGTATCCCGTCATGTAATTTTCTGCAAATAATTTAATTAGCTCTATGGTCAAAATACTTTTTCATCAGAATCAAGAATAGGGGAAAATCAGTATAGATTTCTAGAGAAAATATGTAAACTTACGTCCAATTGTCCCCATATCCCCTTCGGTTGGCTGTATTGCTAAACAAAATCCATCAATTCCCTGCACCAAAATAACCGGTCATTATAATTTAGCTACATCTGTTGCAAGAGAAAAACAAGAGAAAAATAAATTTCTTCGTTCCCCGCATAGTAAGTAAAAGTTCAAACAATTGGCATTTTTTTCCTATTAGGTTAAACATAAAGGGAAGTGTTTCTCAAGTAACTGGTTCCAAATAACTAGTCTATATCTATATTTGTGATAAAGCCTCTTATGATCATATGTTTAACTTTTCACCCCTCATCCCAAAAGAAAAAGGAACCACTTAATCCACACCCACCTGGTCGTTGTAAAATACAAACACAGGATTATAGACCACAAAACTGTTATTGTGTTGGAACATGAGCGTCAGTGTAGGAATCTTAGGCAGCTGTTGCGAACTGTTTCAAAAATAAATAAATAAAACATCATCAGAAAGCCCAAAATTTTCTAGCAAGAACCGAGAGTAGAGGCCGGAGAGGGAAAGAAAGAGATCTATCAAGTAAATGCACCTGGGTACATAACAATACTCCCAAGGAGATCCTTCAAAGGTTGATCTTGTAGCATTTACTTGTTTGTCAAACTGTCAAATAAAATCATTTAAATATCCACAGAAGAGATTTACAATCATGAAATTCGAAAGACAAAAGTACCTCTTCAGCTATTGCTTCATATGCATGACCCGGAAGAAACGTAAATGATGTTCCACTATCAAACTGAGCATTAAAACTTGTTACTTTAGGACAAGAATTCCCAATACAATAGGCCTCCACTCCAACAATGTAGGTTGAACTGAGCAGGAAATTTATCATGATTAGCAGGAGACCATTTTCGAAATTATTGTAGAATAGTAAAAGGTTGTAAACTAATTAAATGTAGATAAATTTCATACAATATTCCATCCAAGGGCAAGAATGGAGTAGACTGTTGCACGGTTGATCCCTGGTCACCGAAAAACAATCTACCGGAATCATCTTCATTAAAGCACAATGAAAAAGAATCACGGATTAATCCTGATTTAGCAAGAAAACTCGGAACTGAACTCTCCCCAGGTCCCAAACCAATGAGACCATCCGGAGCATTGCCATTCAAATATTCACCACTTTGCTTCATACCACACCTGCATTCAACATAATTGATGTTAGTCAATGGGGACACACTGTTCAAAAGAGAAACACTGTCATCAGGCAAAGGGATGTTGAAGTGACAAGGACACAATCAATCAGGTATACCCGACAAGAACTGAAGCCTGAACAGAAGAGTTAGATGAGCTGCCATTCCCATCGCTGGATTGAAGATGCAATATGTCCTCAACTAACAATCCAGAACTTGAAGTGTTTTCTGACATGTAATTGATAGTATACGGACACTGCTGCTTGGAAGTTTTACAATTTGAACCCATATCACATAACCGGTGGCTGCAAGATAGATGCTTGCTGGATAACGAACTAGAAGGGCTATACTCATTCAGATCTCTATCCTGCATAATAGATGCCCCATATGTGAGGGAGCACCTGCCAATCAATTACTGGAAATAAGTGCTAAACCAGCCACCAACTCTTAGCTTAGACTCTAAAAACTTCACCCCAAACATGCACCTATAAAGCTGAGTTGCTAATATGCTATTTGCCGTATTACTAGTATTTGGCAGGTGCTACCAAAGTAGTACATGAGAGAGGGTTGTGGCATGATTGTTGACACTTAGCTTTTATCAATTTTCAGGGACAAATCTCTAAGCATATGTTTTGACAAGCATAAATAAACGCTTATTTATCAAATGATTGTCAATCTATAAGTTATTCCTATAGCAAAAGATAAAATAAAGTTAACTAGTAGCATAAATAAATGCTTATTTATCATATGAGTGTGAATCTATAAGCTAGCATAAATAAATACTGATTTTACTAAGTTGTTTTTATATAAGCTATCATGAAGAACTTATGGAAATAAGATGAAAACAACTTATGAATGTCCTAATTTGCTTTCATAAGTTCTTCTAAATAGTACCACAAATGTGTATGCTAGTATTTAAACTCAAATAAGTCAATCCAATCTAATTACACATCAAGGCATTGCATTTTCATATTGAACCTAACCCATCCTTATAAAACCACGACTCAAGTATTTTTCATTACACCCATCACGCCCAACACTATTGGGCGTTTGATACGTATATATAAATGGTGGTTCACGTGATCGATAGACTCTTTCTATATAGCATCTAATTCATCCTTATTAAACGGATTTTTAAACCGAAGGGTGTCACTCTTTATAAACTCTAATCTCAGAGACTTTTTTTATACAATTAAAAGATAGTGTACATACCAAACTGGCATAGAAACTGGCAGACAAGGGAGCACACTGTATGCAATCACAAGGAACCCAAAGAAGATCACTCCCAGCATCCAATGCTACAAGAAACGAAGTACTCGGTGTCCCTATATCAATCCACGTGTAATGCAACCTATTCACATTGCAAAAACAACAAAATCAGATTCAAAAATTCCAAAAAAATCAAAAACAAAAAAAAAAAACAGAAAGAGAAGAATAAAAAATTACCATGCTAAGTCGTTTCCAAACGACATCGTTTTGCTCCCTCGAGAAGGAAACAGAAGCTGGTGACGAGCGCCGCCGAGGCTAACTTTATGTCTGACAAAGTCGTTTCTAAGAAGCCTCTGGTAATAGTGCATGCTCCGCCGGTCCGGCCAGTCACCGGTCTGAACCCGAACCGGTTTCATTTCTTCTGAGAATCGGTGAACCAACTTCGTGGAAAAGGTGGTCGGAACCTGCATTGCGTAAGTAACAGTCACCGAGAGTAGAAACGGAAGTAACAACCGCCACCGTGACGGCATCGGAGATCGAGATCTAGTAGTATATTTTCCGATGGTGAGAGTGATTAGGTCGAGATTAGTGTTAATTAGAGAAAGTAATTAATAGGTTATGAGTGGTTGAGTGAGGGGTGCGCAGTGTGCATCATCGTTTGTTCATTTGTTCATCACTGTGTGTGGTGTGTCTGAGTGAGTGTGAATGAGAGTGACAAACTTGGTTTTCTATTTGTGGGTGGCGGAATAAAGTAGTTAACTGATGGAAAAAGGTAAGATAAATGTGATTTGATTTGCATTTATTTTATTTTATTTTATTTTATTTTGTAATTAGTTAAACTCATCATACATTATGATTAATATGTTTTCTTTTTAACAACGATTAATGTGTTTTTGTTATGAAGATGACTATGTTTGAAATTAATAAAAAAAAGAAAATTATTAGCAACAATAATGTAATGCTAGGATGAAACGAAACGTCACGCGGATACTTGGCCCACCGTGTTTGAGAACAAAACGGGCTTTTTTCTACGTGTCCATTTGTTTTGGAATTTTTCAAAGCACTATATGAATTATTATGCCACTTTGTGAAAAGGCAAAAAAATTTAGAATTTTTAGAATTATGCCAATATATGAATTTTAAGTTACGTTTCAATTTTATAATTAAATTTTTTTTAAATGTTTTTGAAATATATTTTTAGAATCGGTAAAATGTTGAGTATGAAATAGTTTCAATAATAATTTTAATATTATAAGTGATTTCAGCAATTACACAAACATTTGTGGTCTGAACATGATGGTTAACATGCTAAAAGATAATTAACGCAGAGTCAGCCTTTTGAATTTGGGTGTTTTGGGCAAATCCAAAGTAAGAGTGGTGCCCTTATAATTTTTTTTAACAATAAATACATAAGAGTAAAAGAAATAATTGGATAAAAAAACACATTTTTATTTGAGATTGTGCAAAAAGAATACAATCGTTTTTCCTATAAAGAATTGATCAAATCTTAAAAATTATTTAAATATTATCCTCTTAGTATTTTTTTTTCAGAATCATTAATAATTCATTCATAATTAAGGTTTTTCAAAAAAATTATTTTCAATTGAAATCAACGCAAGACTATTTAATCTATTTTGTGATATAGTAGATCTCAAATAAGATTTTAATAATTTTAATTAAGAAAAACTTCTTTCAGCAGATGCAGCACTGATAGGAAACATAATCAATATTATTCTATAAATTATGCATGCATTAGGAAAACAATTAAAAGTCTTTAAAGAACTCAATATCATATAGCTTGATTTTGATTCAACTCTTAAAACTTCTCTAATAACTTTCAATTCTTCAAACAAAATTTCACCATCAAGATCAAGAGAATTGTCATGTTTTAAACAAGTTTCAAGATGTTTACAACATGCTTTCAAGTTTCTATCGGATAATGATCTAAGCCTTTTAATACTAACAAGAATTCAAAATATTTTTAGATGTGATATACTGCTCAAATTTTCTATCAAGTGAGCCAATTGTTTGATCTACAATATATAAAAAATAGTGATTTTGAAAAGACTCTCCATGAGACTCAAGATTCAGTTGTGTGGGTTGAAAGGGATTTTCATCATACCGTTGTTTTCTACGAATTTGATGTTTTTGAATAAACACACATTCAATCTCCATTTCATTCCTAATCTTTTCAACATTAACATTAACATTTATAAATTCAGATTCTTTATATTTTTTCAAATACTTGATCAAACCTTTTTGTTTACTGGAAAAAATAGTAACCAACTGCTGGTCTTTCCAATTAAAAAATTGGGTTACGTACATGATCGACCACACAAATTCTAAGACATGTGCTAGCAATTCTTAATTTAAAGTTTGGGAAATAATGAAGATTTCAATATTATCCATGATCTAACAACTAAAAACTTCAAAATTTAGAAGAAGTAAAGTGCAGAAACTTGATCAAAGACAATTAAATAACTTGAATAATAAAGAGATAGATTTTGTGGTAAAAAGATGAAATTGGCATTAAAACATAAAGATATGGTGTAATCAAACGTACATTTTCTTCGACATACTCTTCTTCTCTACACGCGGATACTTTGAGTAATTTCAGAAACTTTGTACAAATTTTGGAACACCCTCATCCTAACACTAAAACCTTCTATTTATAATGATAAAAAAATAACCGACCCTAACGGTTATACTACAAACAAATGACAAGTGGCGTTCGACATGTCTCCTTTCCTCAGAAAAACTTCATGCGTCCTTCTTCACAAATCTGGATAAGAAAGAAAATTTCCTCCTTTATTTGAATTCAAATCACACGTCGAAATATCATTTTTGTCGAACCATCTTCAAAATATTTTTTTCTTCGCATCTTATTCAGCATTTCCTCTTCACACAAAGGGTTGTTTCGACCAACGCAAGTATAGCACTGTCAAAACACTATAATCACTTCATGTAATTCTCTTTATTATTTCTTTAATTTAAAACCAGGAGTCGAATCTGAGAGCTAACAAATTACCTCTCAAAAATGTCATTTTCGATAGATGAAGAAAAAAGATATTTTTTGATAACTTTATTCGACACCTTGATTGACCCATGTATGATTCATCACATCTGATGAGTCATTGCTATAAAAGATTTATCTTTTATAGCGCACTTGTGACGTCTTAGTCATGATTACCTTTTCTGAAACATCTTTTCAAAACCCACGTGAAAATCTTTACCATCATCGCGTATCCTAGACCTTAGGAGATAATGAGGATATGTATTAAATGTTACCGCTTCATCAAGGATAGAGGAAAGAACACGTGTCCCACTCCCATTATAGCCATAAATGCTGCTTCAGAACTGCTTCCGCTTCCACCCTTATAAATACCCCTTTCCATTTCTTTTCTTCTTTTTACACTTTATGAATCCTTAAACTCACAATCTTCTTCTCCTCCAACCAACCCAATTTACTTCATTCCAACAATGACTTCCTCAAACCGCTCCAACAAATGATGTCACAAAAGCTCCCAAGGAAACTGCCAAACCTGTGAAGGCTCCCAAAAAGATCTCTCAACTTCCACCGTTTGACACCATCAACGGTCCAACTATGGTAGGAAATCAACAGTACCTCCCTAAACCGCTTGCTGAAGAAAAAGAAGGATTTATAAATCCCAGGTACTTATTCCTCTTTCTGTGGCTGGTAAGCCATTGGCTTTATTTGGTCCTTTGTCTGATATAAATGTTGATCCTAGTAAGCTTAAAGGTTTTTTCCCAACTTACCATAGGTACAAACCCATAGGTCAAGCTAAAAAACCCAGGGCTAGTGATGAGGAACCTAGTCCTACCAACCAGGACACTCCTTCGACTGAAGAGGCCATTGACCTTAGGTATATGAACAATTTTAGGGTATTTCGGGCAAGTCCCTCCTTTAACGACCCTTCTGATTATTTAGGTTGGCTAGAAAAGTTAGAGAAAAAAAATCCCAAACCTGGAAAGACATGGTTATTTATGATTTAATCAAGTTGTCGAAAGCAGGTTCAGACTATTTCTCAAACATGCTTCTCTCTTCTCTGTATTTTTGGGATAGCACCCACTACACCATTCATCTTCCTTGTGGAATGATGTCGCCTACATTGTTCGACGTAGCCGCTATCACATGGCTAAAACTAACATGCAATACATACGACCCTGACTATATGTCTGAGGATATTATTAGTTTTTCCACTTCTAGGGCAGCATATTCGACTCATATTGGGCATTATCATGACAAAGATATCAAATATGTATCTGATGTGGAACATATAGCTTTTCTGGCGTTATGGTTATCCCGTTGTGTCTTTTACTCGAAATCGCTTCAAGTAGCCAGGAAGTTTTTAACCATGGAAAATCAACTTCACTTTGACGACAATCTATGTTTAAGTGAAATGATCTTGGCTGTCCTGTACGAATCCATGAGCGAAGGTGTCAATCAATTAAATAACCTATGGGACAAAGGAAACCTTCTCCTTTTTGGACCTTTCTGCCTTCTTCAATTGTGGATGAATGCTTCATTCGAAGCTTGCCTTCCCTACAAAAACCAGATTGATGAAAATGCTGAAGAGGTAAAGAATAGGAGGGTCGAAGGACCACGATTGGAAAAATTAACTCTAAGTGATAATGGTCGGCCCATTCAACATGTTTTTACCAGTTACATCATGATGTTCGCCAAGCGCTATGACTTTTCTCCGAACATGGCACCTTTTGCTGCAAGAAGATGTGGTCCTGAGTGGTTCATTAGGTCATTCCAAGCTCCGACCAAAGCCAAAAAAGCATAATCTAGTGTCGTTTAGGAAGCTTTCATGACCCCTAGGGTTTTGACCCTCAGGTTTAATCTTTCAAAATGTCTGACAACCCTAATCGCTTATCAGCCCAATCTTGTGGCTGGATGATGTTGTGTTTCGCAAGTGCACGAATATCGTCAGAGTAATATAAAAGATTATCGATCCCACAGATACCAAACGTCAATCTATCGGTTGCTATTGTTACGGTGTTTATCTAAGGCAAGTCAATAAAAGGTTAAGTTGTGCGAAATAAAAGTAAAGTGCGAAAATAAATTCAATATTAAAACAACAGGCTTAGATGCAATTCACATAGCTAGGTAGTATTCCAAATGCGTATAAATAGGATGCCTTATGGGGTAATGTTTTCTACTCGTGAAAAGAACTAATTTAACGGGAACTATCACTTTCGCGTATTCAGAACCGAGTTTATCCCCTAATTGATCCCTCTTATTGTCACTTATAAAAAGGTGCGCATTGTGTTAGAGTGATTAAACCTATTTTTAAGAAATATAGTTTCTTAACTTAGTTGAAAAGTATTTTGACTTGAAATTTATAATAAAAAGAGGTTCTTGTGAACCGGGCTTTAAATCCATAAACGCATCCGAAAACAGTTTTAAAATCAGTTTTCTAAAACATTAAAGATTCCTACTTAACTGGACCAAGCGCTTTCGCTTCCTTTGAACAATTAAGACTAACCAAATTTATCTAAAGGT